CCTGTACAGGCCCGTTCTGTCCTCCCTCCTGCTTTCACTGTCTCCAGCCTTTCGACCTCACTCTCTCCGTCCCTCTCCCTCTCTCTCTTTCCCAATGGTGTGCTCTGTCTGGCCAGCAGCAGATGGTGGAATGGATCAGGAGGAGACGTCCTCTAACCCGGGATTGAGTCCAGAGATCATAGACCGTCTCATCACAGCCCAGTGAAGCCGGACCACAACACACTCTGTGTGTGTATTTCTATTTTAATCACTGCTGCTATGAGGCTGATGTAATTTGTTTGGCAACATAGAATATTTTGTGAAAAGTGTTCATGCTTGCTACTTTTTGCTGCGTGAAAACAACGTGAAATTAAAATTAGTTTAAAGGTGGAGTGTGTAATGTTTTGGATATTAAAACACTTTCTCGTATCCCAGCTGAGTATGCAGAGGCAACTATAATTAAGCATTTGTATTTAATTTCCCTAGAAAGTGCTCTGTTTGTTTGAGCAACCCGACACTGCTCAGTTAGTGGAATGACTTGGGGTGGGGCGGGTGATCTGTTTGCCTGACCAGTGGCATTTTGGACGGAATTTATTCAGGAAACCTGTTTGAAAACAGTTAGTTTTCCCCCTTTTGGTAATGATAGTGGTGCTGAAATGATACACGTCACCGTTATAGAAGACATTGAATCAAAAGGAACACTTTTTGCATTTTGTAATAAATGTCCCAAGTCTTATTGTGCATGACACATCAGTGCATGTTATTCTAAAGAAATGTAATAACTTTCCTTTTTGCAGATGAACCCAAGACTGTACAGGTGGGGAAAATCTTATGTCACATTGGATAAAATTAACCAGGTTGATCAAATCAAGTACTGTCTTATATTATCTTCATTATGAAAGGTAAACGCTCTCTTATGTTGTTTAAAAGTCAACAGTAACACCATTCATATATATATTCTGTTGCAGGTCAAGCTTTTTTACAATACGCAACGTTTCAGAAAAACTTTACAGAAGGTCATTCTGTTCTATATCTTTAATAAAACATAGAGTGAATTTTCACGTCAACTTTAAGAGATGTTATGTTAATTTTATTGTTACTATTTAAGAGATGTAAATATTTTGTTTTATGCAATAGCAAGCAGGTCTCAAAAGGTATTAGTGAATATATGATCAGTTGTCCAGCAATATAGCTGCTGTCGAAAAGTCTGATGTGATTTTAACATCATTTTTTCTAATTTAAGTAGCTGTCATTTAAGCAATGACATGGAGAAATAAAGAATATGGCTTCAGTTTTAATTAGTAACATCTCGATATAGAGACAGGACAAATTTCAGACAGAATTACTGCATCAATATGTCTAGCCTGACTGTGGTTGAAAATGACTCCTATCATGGTAAAAGTTTTGATCATATTGCCCACCTGTAAGTAGTTTAAACGGAGAGCTACTAGAAAGTCACTTCATAATGCTTAAATTCCCCAGTGAGCAACTGTGGCAAGGAACAAAATCTCCATTTGGTGATTGAAAGTGAAAACAAAATTCATATCACATATTTAGGATGGGACTTGATTTAATCCATCAGGAATTGATTGGGTGGTAAAAAAAAAAAAAACGTGTTCTTACCTTTTCATAATGAATGCGGAGCAGAGTTGGTGAAAAATAAGGATTCATGAAAATGGATAGAAAATGTTTTTTTCAGAGGTCATTAGATTTTGATTAAAGATTATTTTTAATGTGGAATACAAATTAATAGTGCAATAAGACCATGAAGTGCACTAAAATATGGGTCATATTTTTGATTTCATGTGAAATTTTTACATTTCAGCCTCACAGATGAACAACCAAATGCCCTTCATCAACTCAGTAGCAGTTCTTAGCGCTTCTTTCATTTTAATTTCTGTTATCCTCTCATTGACTCATCCTCCCTCTATTTCGCTCGGTAATGACGTTCACAACGTGGTGCTTGTATGCAGTCTCGACCTCATTCTTATGTGACATTTGTACACGCATACAGTGTTCTTTTGCCTGTCACAGCAACACAAAAACTCCGTCTCTCTCTCACACACACACACACAAACCACCCACACTGACATCTTATCTTTTGATCTCTTTGTTCTCCATGCACCTGTATGCATTATTTTCTTCCGGCTTTTATCTCATTCTCTTCCTCAGAGACTTACAGGAGCAAATTCTACTTTTTTTTTTTTATCACGCCCAATAGCGAAAAAGAGAGTAAAATGGAAAAAGAAAAGACAGAATGAGAGAGGGACAGATGGAGGGAAACAATAGAAGAAGAGTGGGTGAACGAAAGAGATGGAGAGTTTT